AACTTTCGCAAAGAAGAAATTCGAATGGCAAAAAGGCACATGAGAAAATGCTCTACATCACTAATCATCAGAGAGATGCAGATCAAAACCACAATGAGATATCATTTCACACCACAGAGACTGGCCCACATCCACAAGAACAAAAGCAACCGGTGCTGGCGCAGATGTGGCGAGAAAGGGACCCTCCTTCACTGCTGGTGGGAATGCCGGCTGGTCCAACCCTTTTGGAAAACAGTATGGATGACTCTCAAAAAATTAGAATTTGATCTGCCATTTGACCCAGCTATAGCACTCCTGGGAATATATCCCAGAGAGGCAAAAAGGTATAGTCGAAGTGACATCTGCAATTGTTTGTTCATTGCAGCACTCTTTACAATAGCCAGAATCTGGAAAAAACCTGAGTGCCCAAGAACAGATGACTGGTTAAAGAAACTTTGGTACATTTACACAATGGAGTACTATGTAGCTGTTAGAAAAGATGAAGTTATGAAATTTACATACAAGTGGTACTACATGGAAAGTATCATGTTAAGCGAAATGAGTCAGAAAGAGTGGGATAGACACAGAAAGATTGCATTCATCTGGGGAACATAAAGCAACAAAAAGGGAGAGTGACACACAGGAATGGCTGAGATTAGTACCAGGAATTTTGCTCCATGAATGGAAGGCCAGCCACAGGCTCTAGGTGAAAAGGAAGCTCAGATGGAGAAGAGAGTACCAAATGAAGGGTGTTGTGAGGGCCCTCCCAGGGTGGGAGAAGCATGCTGAGGGTGGTCGATAGACCAAACATGATTGCCACTCAAAGCCTCTCTTGCAAAACACAGTACCCAAAAGAAGAGAGAGAGAACAAGGGGGAATACCCTGCCACAGAGGCAGGATGGGACGGGGGGGTGGGGGATAAGGGTGGGGGGGATGCTGGGACCCATGGGGATGGATGACGGGCACTGGTGGAGGGATGGGGACTTGATCATTGTATAACTGAAACCCAAGCACAAAATTTGTAAGCCTATAACTGTACCTCATGGTTTTTCACTAATAAAAAAAAAGGAAAAAAAAATTAAAAAAAAAAAAAAGATACAGTGACCAAAATACAAAGATGATCTACAGAATGGGAAAGGATATTCACCCAATACCCATCTGACAAGGGGTTGATATCAAGGATATATATGGCACTGGTTGAACTCTGCAAGAAGAAAACATCCAATCCCACCAGGAAATGAGTTGATGAAATGAACAGAAACTTTCTAAAGGAAGAAATACAAATGGCAAAAATGCGCATGAAAAAAATGCTCTTCATCACTAATCAGCAGGGAGATGCAGATCGAAACAACTACAAGATACCAACTCGCACCACAGAGACTGGCACATGTCCGAAAGAACATAAGCAACTGGTGTTGGCATGGATGTGAGGAGAAAGGGACCTTACTACACTGCTAGTGGGAATGCAGACTGGTTCAGCCCTTCTGGAAAACAGTATGGATGATTCTCAAAAAATTAGAAATTGAGCTTGCATTTAACCCAGCAATACTAGTCCTGGGAATATATCCCAGAGATGCAAAAAAGTATAGTCGAAGTAACATCTGCACTTGTTTGCTCATTGCAGTACCATTTACAATAGCCAGAAACTGAAAAAAAAAACCTGAGTGCCTGAGAATAGATGACTGGTCAAAGAAACTTTGGTACATCTACACAATGGAGTACTATGCAGCTGTTAGAAAAGATGAAGTCATGAAATTTACATACAAGTGGTTCTACATGGAAAGTATCATACTAAGTGAAATGAGTCAGAAAGAGAAGGACACAGAAAGATTGCATACATCTGTGGAATATAAAGTAAAAGAATAGGAGACTAACACCCAAGAATAGTTGAGATAAATACCAACTATAAGTACCAACAATAAGTTGAGGTAAGTACCAGGAGGTTCACTCCATGGCTTACAGGCCAGCCGCACATGCTCGCGCTTCACTTATGTTAAGAGTTTGGTCATGGACAAATACTGTCATGATCCAAAAAGTAGTAACTAGATTTGGACCCTGCTAGGGTTAGGAATGATTAATCTGGCCTGAGTGCTGTAGTCTGAGTCTGTGGCAAGATGTTCCCAGGAGAGCTGCCCTACAAGCCACAAAATGTTATCTTTTACTGAGTCCATACAAAAGTAACAAGTATTAAGATGTTATTCAGATGTTGATTTTTTGGACTAAGGAAAGGAGATAAGTGGTATTTTGCCCTGGCAGTCAGGAAGGGCTTTGGTATGCTTCTAAGGTGGTGTTTCCTTTGAACCTGGTGTGCCCTGGAAGGGCTTTCTTATGTTGATTTTGCTACCAGACTGGGCCCAGAGGGCAAATGAAGAAGAGACACAAGTAGGGGTGAGGAGACTAGAGAAGAGGAGGTTGAATCCAGAGAGCAGGGATGGAGGAATGAGGGGCAAGGAAGGAAGACTAGAGATTGAATAAATGGCAACTAATCATCAACCAGCATGGCCCTGGTTCTTCCTTCATCTGCCCATCGCCAACAGCTGTCCTGGTTTAGTCCATACACAGAAGCTCAAGGGCACCGTATGAGGGAGGTGAGAGAGAGCTGCCTCCAGACCTTGCGAACACACACCCTTTAGTGTGCTTAATTCTTACAAGGATTCACTCATGGGGTGAATTATTCACAATTTTCTCCAAAACCTGGGGGACAAGGCAACAGTACCATGGGTAGGGCACCTGTCTGGCACCAGAAACAATCACTGAGCATAGAGCCAGAGTAATCCCTGGACACCACGGGTATGGACTAAAATCAAAACTATTTCTGGAGCTCTATACTAGTATGCCATCTGCAAAATGGTACTTTAAAATATTTTTCAAAGAAACTTTAGTATCATTTATACTGACAAAATTCTGGATAACATACCAGTGAAGGAGAAATTTATGTGGAAAACACCTTAAATGTTATGCCTATAAATCCTGATTTAAGTACAGAGAATTTCAAAATAAATATAATGAGTATCACCAGAGATAACTGGAAATATTTTAACCATGAAACAACAGACTGTCATGTATTATTAAAGACCTTCCATAATTCTAAACAGTCTTCACACACAAGTCAATTATTCAACTTAAAAGAGCGATCTGTGTATTACCTTTATTCCTTACCAAAGTTAATCTACCATTTTATATTGCCATAGACTCTTATAAAGCAAAAATATATATTTCATACATAATTAGTATTTAGACGTTAAAAATCTACAATACTATTTGAAAGCCAACTCAGCTATTAGTTGTTGCTCTTAAATGAATAAACTTCTTAACCCTTGGTCTCTTCAATAGCAAAATGGCAGTAAATAATAGTTAATTACAGATAAATAGGTTATTTGTAAAATGCTTACTATTTGGCATAAAGTCAGGTGGACAAAAATACCCAATAGTTACGTTAGCAAAGTAACGTTAATACTATTATTTTATACAACTGCTTTAATAATTTTAACACTGAAAGCTCGTGCTTTTGCTTTTGTTTCCTATTTTATTTCTTCCTTACCAGGGATTCCCTGACAGTGGGGATGACAGGATCACTCTAGCACATGTAGAGGCATGTGTAAACCCAGAGCCACACTTGCCCTGAGCAGTTTTTAAAGCCACTGAGCCAGGAGACTAAAGAGATAGTGCAGGGGCTAAAGCTCTTACTTTTCAAGCAGTTAACCCTGGTTCAATCCCGGCACCACACTACCAGGAATATGACTCCTAAGCACAGTCAGAAAAAGTCCCTAAGCACTGCTGGATATAGCCACAAACCTCAAATGTAAAGAAATAAAGTCACAGAACCACCTTCTTTTTTTTTTATTTTAAATTCTTTTTTAAATTTTAAAAAAGAATTTAAATTTTTTAAATTTTTTGAATTTTTTTTATTTTAAATTCTTAAATTTTTATTAGTGAGACACCAAGGGCTGGAGCGATAGCACAGCGGGTAGGGCGTTTGCCTTGCACGCAGCCAACATGGCCGACCCGAGTTCGATTCCTCCGCCCCTCTCGGAGAGCCCGGCAAGCTACTGAGCGTATTGGATATGCCAGACACAGTAACAACAAAGTCTCCAATGGAGACGTTACTGGGCCCGCTCGAGCAAATCGATGATCAACGGGAGGGCCTTTACTTTACTTACTTTACTTTAGTGAGACACCATGAGGTACAGTTGTAGACTTATAAATTTTTGTGCTTGGGTTTCAATTATACAATGACCTTCTTGAACCTTCCAGGCAATGCTCAGGGAGTCTGGGGCTACACCTCCCAGTCCTAGTCAGCCTACAGATGGTTTAACACTGGGGCCCACGGATGCAGCACTGGCCCAGTGGCAATGGCTGGTTGCCAGGGCCACCTCACAGAGCCTGGGCGCTTCCAGAGCTACACAGGGGTCCATGCATTGCCAGCAACAGAACCAGAGTCCCTGAGCATGCTCTGACCCCTGTGCTCTCTCTCCAACCCCCAGACCCCTTTCTTTTAAAGGGTACTTAACAGCAAAGCTGTTTAGATGGCCTCAATGCATGTGGGCAGCATTAGGGTTTGAACCAAAGGACCTGCACTTGCTGGTAAGTGTTTTAAGCCACTGTGACATCTCCCAGGCTATTTCTGTTTTTCACTGAGCTAACACTGGTTTATGAGACATGTTTTCAAGTGTACAATTTCACACCTCTTCAAAATGTATGTTACCACAGCACACCCACCTCCACCTCCCAAGTGCCAAAACCCAAGTTGATTCGGCCCCTCCCCATTTTAGTCCCCCACTTTCCTCCTCTTAGGCAACCTCATTTCTTCCACCAGTCTTGAAGGATTTGCTTCCACTGGGCTTTGTCTACTCCCCTGCCTTGTTTCTTTATGAGTGAAATCATTTGATAAATGTTTAGAAACTCAAACTTCAACCTTCATTTCTTTACGTCAATGAAATGGCCCAACAACTTTTAAGAATTTTTAGAAAAGGAGAAAAAAAAAGATAAAGTATAGAAAATTAAAATATTGAACTCTGTACCTTTTTTTAGGACTGTTTTTCCCAGGAGACATCTTATCAACTGTTTTGTAAGAATAAACCTTCTCCAAGTTAGACTGTTTTTAAACATACAAAAAGACAATATGATATAAAAGCTGACATGTATTTTCTTCTGACTTAACCAAATCAAGTAAATCACCTGGCAATAAGCTCTTAAATAACTGATTTCTAGTATTTTAAAGGTCATTAGAAACGTAACCCAATGTAATATCCCTTCCAAATCTATAGAGAATATATGACTGTAAGAATGCACTGAGACAACAAAAGCCAAAGTTAAAATGATTCAATTATTTTCTGCATACTTTAATAAAGCAGAAAAAAAGTTCACAAGAAAATTTAATTCAACACATTTGCCCTTTACCCCACTATTCTAGTCAGCCTGTGGGTAATATTTTAATCTACAATAGTTAATAAAGATGGCAATGCAAAGTATTAGTGTCTGTGTATGCATACATTTGTTTATTGTGTGTGTGCACATATAAAACAGGCACACACATACATATAACTTTCATGAAAACAGCAATTGGGCATATTTTTCTTATCAACTATAAAGGTTATAACATGCAAACCAAATAGTTTTTAATAAATTCTTAAAGAATATTAATAAGTTACCTTCTCAAATACTTCTGTTCTATTAACCCCAGAAATTATGCACTGCAAACTTAATGCCATCCTATCACTTTTTCCTCTAAATTTTGTTTTGCTATCTATAGAATTTTCCTCTTTAACTGAAGGGAAATTATAATCTAATAATTTTAAACAGGAACTGCATCAATAAAGAATAAAATAAATAAGAACTGTCCCTTTAATAAAAACATACCTTCCTCTCTGCACTTAATTCAATTGGTTCTTGTCTAGAGAAATACTGTTGACTGCGACTGCCTGAAGACACAGTTTTAGAACTGAAAAACAATAAAATTAAATTATCTCAAATGTTAAAATGCAATTATGTACTTCATGAATCATCATACCTATGCTCTCACAGAGGCAGCGGAGATTAAATTATTCTTTTAGAACTCTTGATTTTTTAAAATGAAACAAAATTTTCCCCAGGAAAAACTTTGGAAAGTTTAAGTTAAAAGATTAATAAAAGATCTATAATATATATGAAGGCATTAATAACGAGTAATAAGTTATTCCCTTCCCACCATTTCTTTTCCATATAAGGACGAAATGGTGTGAGGAAGAAATGTGGTATGGTAATCAACAATGCTCTCTTTGCTGTATCCTAGGTCAGTGAGAAAGTCACTTTCTAAATACTCTACTCAACCACCTGCTATTAAAGAAGAAAGTGTTCTAGAATTTATCTTTCTCCCACTGATCCCTAGTCCAAATGGATGAAAGAGGAGTTCAAACAAATCTTTTGACACATTTTACCTATGTAGTACCTACAATTTGCATAAACAAAATCATTTAAACAAAAAATATATAAAAAAGAACCTTTGTAGATGCCTCGATGAACATAATTCTTCATTAGTTTGAAGGATAAGTTTCCGAGCAGACTCGGCATTGGCTTTATCAAGCCAATTTCTACCCTAATGAATGAACACAAAGAGAAATCTTTTAAAACATTGCAAGAAAAGTTAAACCACACAGGTAGACTTCTACATTACCTTTTTTGTAAGTTTGTAAATCTTCACAAATTTGTTGTGTCCAGAAGCCTCTATCAAGAATCCCTCAATAACGAGCTGATAAGATAAAGCCTTCCACCAACTCTCCGTTTGATCTTTGCCAATGCCAAAAAAACTGTGCTTGCGATATCTTTCTTCAAGACGTTGGGAATACTAAAATTAGGAAGAAAAATCAGCATCTAAAAATGCTTATGTCCACTCTCTCCACTGCTGTTCAATATAGTACTGGAAGTACTTGCAATAGCGATTAGACAAAAAAAAAATATTAAGGGCATCCAGGTAGGAAAGGAAGAAATCAAGCTCTCACTATTCACAGATGATATGATACTATACTTAGAGAACCCTAAAATCGCTACCAAGAAACTCCTAGAAACAATAGACTTGTATAGTAAAGTTGCAGGCTATAAAATCAATACCCAAAAGTCCATGGCTTTCCTATGTGCAAATAGTGAAAGAGAAGAAAGTGTCATGAAGAAAACAATCCTGTTCACAATTGTGCCCCAGAAAATCAAGTACCTAGGAATCAGCTTGATTAAGGAAGTAAAGGACCTGTACAAAGAAAACTACAAAATGCTACTTCAGGAAATAAAAGAGGACACCAGGAAATGGAAAAATATCTCCTGTTCATGGATCAGGAGAAATAACATTGTCAAAATGGCAATACTTCTCAAACCACTGTACAAATTCAATGTGATTCCTATTACGATACCCATGACATTCTTCAAAGAAATGGAGCAAACACTCCTGAAATTTATATGAACAATAAGCCCCCACAAATAGCTAAAGCAATTCTGGGGAAAAAGAAAAAGGGAGGAATCAATCTCCCTAACTTCAAACTCTACTACAAAGCAGTAATAATTAAAACAGCATGGTACTGGAACAAAGGCAGAGCTGCAGAGCAATGGAACAAGGTGGAATATACTGACATCTCCCCCCAAGCATATGATAATCTAATCTTTGATAAGGGGGCAAGAAATGTGAAGTGGAGTAAGGAAAGCCTCTTTAACAAATGGTGCTGGCAAAACTGGACAGCTACATGCAAAAAAGAGGGCTCAGATCTGTCCCTAACACTAAGTACAAACGTAAGATCAAAATGGATTAAAGACCTCAGCATCAGACCGGAATCCACAAGGTACATTGAAGACAAAGTTGGCAAAACCCTCCATGACATTGAAGCTACTTGAAAGATGTTACGCCACACAAGCAAGTGAAAACAGAGACAGACAAATGGGACTATCTTAAACTAAGAAGCTTCTGCACCTCCAAAGAAACAGTGACCAAAATGCAAAGACAGTCTACAGAATGGGAAAGGATATTCTCCAAATACACATCTGACAAGGGGTTGATATCAAGGATATACAAGGTACTGGTTGAACTCCACAAGAAGAAAACATCCAACCCCATAAAAAAATGGGGCAACAAAATGAACAGAAGCTTTCTCAAAGAAGAAATCCAAATGGCTAAAAGGCACATGAGAAAATGCTCTACATCATTAATCATCAGGGAGATGCAGATCAAAACAATGAGATATCATCTCACACCACAGAGACTGGCCCACATCCAAAAGACCAAAAGAAATCGGTGTTGGCGTGGATGTGGCGAGAAAGGGACTCTCCTTCACTGCTGATGAGAAAGCGACTGGTTCAGCCCTTTTGGAAAACAGTATGGACGATCCTCAAAACATTAGAAATTGAGCTCCCATTTGACCCAGCAATACCACTCCTGGGAATATATCCCAGAGAGGCAAAAAAGTATAGTCGAAGTGACATCTGCACTTGTTTGTTCATTGCAGCACTCTTTACAATAGCTAGAATCTGGGAAAAACCTGAGTACCCGAAAACAGATGACTGGTTAAAGAAACTTTGGTACATCTACACAATGGAGTACTATGCAGCTGTTAGAAATGACGAAGTCATGAAATTCATATACAAGTGGTACTACATGGAAAGTATCATGCTAAGCGAAATGAGTCAGAAAGAAAGGGATAGACATAGAAAGATTGCATTCATCTGGGGAACATAAAGTAACAAAATAGGAGACTAACATCCTAGAATAGCCGGGGTAAGTACCAGGAGGATTACTCCATGGCTTTGAGGACAGCCGCACACGCTAGGGGAAAAGGCAGCTCAGATAGAGAAGGGAGAACCAAATAAAGGGTGTTGGGAGGTTCCTCTCAGGATGGGAAATGCGTGATGAGAGTAGACTATACACTGAACATGATTGGCACTCAATGTCTCTTTTGCGAACCACAGCACTCAAAAGGAGAAAGATAACAAAAGGGAATGCCCTGCCACAGAGGTAGGGTGGAATGAGGTGGTGGGGGATGGAGGGATACTGGGACTGGTGGTGGTGAAGAATGGGCACTGGTAGAGGGATGGGTATTCGATCACTGTATAACTGAAACCCAAGCACAAAAATTTGTATGTCTACAACTGTACCTCATGGTGTTTCACTAATAAAAATTTAAGAAAAAAATGCTTATTTAATTCAACATTTTAAGCAAAATAAAAAATATTATTCATTAATGCTTTAGACTTAAAACTAAATTTTGTAATTTCACTTGAGTTCTCTGTGTGTGTGTGTGTGTGTGTGTGTGCTGTGTACACTCGTGTGCGTGTGCTAAGAGGCTACTCTGACTCAAAGCTCACAAGTCAACTCTGCTGGCAGTGCTCAGGGAATCATGAGGTGCCAGAAATGAAACCTAGGGCAGCACACCAGCAAGACCAGCAAAACAATTACTCTACCATGGAGTAATATCCCTGGACTCTAAATTTCAGTTTTTTGGTTTTTTTATTTTCTTTTTGGGTCACACCGGGCGATGCATAGGGGTTACTTCTGGCTCTGCACTTAGAAATCACCCCTAGTGGTACTTGGGGGGACCATATGGGATGCTGGGAATCGAACCCAGTTGGCTGCATGCAAGGCAAATGCCCTACCCGCTGTGCTATCACTTCAGCCCCTAAATTCCAGTTTTAACTATGAAAAATTTAGAGTCATCTTGCCAACTCTGAATACTGTAACAAATATATTTGTAATCAAAACAATGTTCCTCTTATCTCTTAAATAATAGCAGAAAATTTCACATAATTCACAGGCTGGGCTTGGGGAGATATATATATATATATTTTGTTTGTTTGTTTATAGTATCACCCAGATGTGCTCAGGTATTCCTCCTACTGTCTCTTCACTCAGGAATTACTCCTGGTAATTCCCAGGGGACCATATGGGATACTGGGGATCAAACCCAGGTCAACCACATACAAGGCAAGAACCCTAAATACTGAACTTTCCCTCCGGTTCCCTAATATCTCATCTTTGATATTTAGACATTTTATTAACACACACACACACACACACATACACACACACAACTGCCTTGTTTAGTTAGTGGGTATTTTTTTTTTCTGGTTTTGGAGGTAGTGGGTGCTACTCCTGGCTTAGTGCTTAGAGCACATAGAGACCATTCTCATGTGGCACTAGAGATGAAACACATACAAAGCTATTCCCTGATCCTTGGAAGTGATGGTTACCAATTACAGCTTAGGAAGAAGCACAGGTGTTAAGTGTACGATCCACTAACTGAAAATCAGGGAGAGTAGGACAACTGGGTTTCCAGTGCAAGGCTCTTTTTCCTGTATTTCTGTTCGCGATATGTTAGAAGATTTATGCATTCATTTCTGAGTTACCTGCTGCACTGAGAAATATGAGGAAAAGCAGGTCCATGAAAAACTGAGGATTTGGTAGGGAGGAGGGATGTGGAATTGGGCCAGAGGGAGGATGTGGATTTGGGCCAGGTAGGATGCCAGGCTGGGCTCATACTTCTGGTAGACTCAGGACCAAATGGAGTGCCAGGGAATTAATGAACAAGGGCCAGTCACGGGGCACGGAAAGCACATACCAAGGCACTATCTCTCCAGCCCCAAAACTGACGAAATAAATAAACTTTTTTCTAAATGATGAGAGGATTCCTACGGAAGACCCTCCATAGCCTTCAAGGTTTAGAAATGTTGAGAAAGCCAGCCCACTGAAGGTATTCTCTTGCCCTTAACGGAGATGACCTTCTCCAGGTTCACTCTATAGTTTTCATATATTTGCCCTCATGCTACAAGTTTTACCTATTCTACACATTTAAATTCTATTTTCAGTGTTTGGTGTCTGTTTTCATTTGGGTGCTGAGGCCTCACCAAGCAGTACTCTTGGTTCTTATATTCTGGGTTTACTCTTGGCTCTTGTATTCTGGGCTGACTCTTGGCTCTATTCTCTTGGATCACTCCTGGAAGGGCTGAGGGGAACATATGTTGTGCTGCAGATCAAAGCTCAAAGTGTGGTAAGCAGTATACAATGCAAGCAACTTAACCCCTGTATACTCTCTCTAGCACCAAAATTCTACTTTTAAACATACAGAATTAGACCAACATAGGATTTTATGAAAAACTGCAGATTCCAAATCAAATATCATTCTAGTTTCTACCTGCTATGACTCCTAATAGAATCTTGGAAGTTACAAACACTATTTCTTAAATACACTTTCGGCTACAGTTCTGGATAAGATTAAGCTCCATTCATCAAGTAGGGTGAAGACAAAGTGAAACCTCTACTATTTTTGCAGTTATAAATAACTATAGAGGTGTCTGCTTTCTTTGAGACTTGGTAGCAAAGAACCCACCATACAACCACTAGCTTCCTTGTTATCAAGAGTCGCATCCAGTTTGTAAACAGATTCAAACAAGGCGGTTACCAAAGCAGGCAGAAGCAGATCTTCATAACCGCTCCAGCTCTCTAGTCAGAGAGTTTGGCCTCAGGAGCTATAATGGCAACTTTCAAACTGCCAAACAGCTTCTTGTTCACAGAAGAGTCTGTGGCACCCATGGGGAACTAACATGCAGTGCTGTCTCAGCTAGTTAATTTCTTTGTTTAAATCACATAAAGTAACTTGAGGCTTTCTAATATAAATGGTATACATTAGGATTACATTGATGTTTTTAAAAAAATTCATTCCTTGAATCTATCACAAGGTACTACATATAACATATAACATCTAAAGGTTACCAAGTGGTATATCAAGAGATTACTAAACTTTCCAATATTAAATTTTTAGTAACACACACAACCTTAATGTAAGTCAATTATTTCTACATTCTATTATGCAATAA